TTGTTTTTGTCGTTGCGCTCGAATATTGCTTGCTTCCCTGTCACCGCCCCTGGGCGACCCGCACTCTCATTCTCAGAGGCACGACCAGCCATACCTCGCACTGATCCATTGGGCGAAAAAAGATGGATGGGGTCTCAGTCTCAGATTCACCAGCACCACGGATTCCAGGTGTCAATTAATAGCACCCTTAGAGATCTTAGAGGTCAAGGGGGTGTCCATGGACCCACCCTTTCGGGGGCTCCAAAACACAGACCAGTCACTTCTTGGTCTGAAAAAGGCAGGATCCACCCTTTCTTGGTCTTTTGAGTCACACCACGTCGTGACATGGGGATGAGTCATGACATGTCGTGACGCGAGTGAAGACCGACGCCGGTGACCCGATGGTGCCCTGCGCACGACGCAGGTGTAATACATACCCAGCAGTTATATAGCTCAGTTATACGTCCAAGACTATTTTTAAAACGGTCTTTAGGTGATCCGAAAAGGAACTTCCTTTACTTGGGTGGTGCCTAAAATAGTCTTTGGACTTCTAGGGTATATACACCATTGTTCCACCTCTTCCCGGTTGTTTTTCGGCATCACACGCACAGCGCGTTTGAGTTCGCACCTGCCGCGTCACTCTTTGGGCTGTCGAACTGAGACAGAGCCTGACGCGGGAGCAGTGACCAAACTTTGTAGTGCTGGATGGAGAAACCATCCAAGATCGGATCAAAACACGTTACACCAGCAAGCATCCTAGGATACTCATGGAAAATTCACTCATAATATGGCGAGATGCTCGACGGTGTGAGGGGAGACGACCAGATCTATCGGGTATTGATACCTTGTTGAAGAGGTGATGTCCTGGCAGACCTCGCGCACCAGGACCGGAGCACACGGAGCAATGACTACTTTCAAGAAAGTATATACACAATACACGCGTATAATCCAGGACCATCCAAGGGGTGTCCAATGGACTACCCCACACTATACCTATAGGCTTCCATTGGGCACCCCTTGGATGGTCCAGGATGTTACTGGTACTTGAAATGGGTGCCTTCGAAATGCATTCGACTTAACGAAGAGATGTGGATGTCCAAAAGAGAGACACCTGCTCAGGGCTCGGGGTGGCTCGGGGTGGTCACCCAAACTGCAAGAAGAATGACAGGCAACGCAAGCTTCATCCTTCATCCTCCTTTCGCGCCATCTTTACCTCCCAAACACCCTCCCAGACTCCGTCCCAAACGCTCCAAGTTCACAGCCCGGTCCCAGGTCCGAGGTTCCGGGTCCACCGGGATGGCGGAAGGACCCCAGACCCGACCCCTCCAGCAGTTCCGACCAGTCCGTCCCGGGGCGTGTCGGACCTGCGATTCCAAGCGATTGACAAGGACCGACAAGCTCCTCCGCACGCCTGACTTCCTGGCGGAGGTCTTCACACCTATACAGAGAGAGGCCGGCTACGCCGGATCATCGACAAGGATCATCGGCAAGAAGGACTGGTCATTGACCTATAGGCCTATAATGGCCCAAAAGGTCTTCCCTATCCTCCATGACCAGTTCTTCCTGGCGATTGGAGTGAAAATAGTGGTTTCAGTTTTTTTGGTGCACAATCCCCCAAGTTTGGTGGTGTTAGATGGGACCTCCATTTGTCTAAGATATCTTGGGGTGCCACTGCCATCGACCCTCCAAACCTGCTGCAACAAAAACAATCAGTGTCTCCGCATGCGATTCGTTGGTGGCCTGCGGCACTCCACCAACGCAAGGACCAAACATCTTGTTTGACCACTGAAAAAGGTCACTTCGAAGGTGATCCAAGCAGGGGTTTTGAAGGTGACTGGCTGATTTGATCCGGCATGATTTATACATTAACCCATAAAACACATCACAAATCATGATGGTTGGTCCCTGTTGGGAGGTGTAAACAACGTGTTTTTATTGTTGGTTGTTATATATATATATTCAATTGTTGAGTCCCCGCAGTCTTGCAGTTGAGGATAGCAATCACCTCATCTAAGAATAGACTTTGCACCACTTGACAATCGAAACACATACAGCAAGAGAACAAGGGGCGGTCGGCGTGTTCCAAAACAAAGAATGATTGCCATCCCTGGGTGTATCAGTGTATCACCTTGGACACACATTTACCAATGCCAGGTGCAGCTACATCTAGCTACATCTCACCGGCTTCAGGATGGGCACCGAGTTCCGGGCAGGCTTGGTGACTTTCTCCCAAACTTGTATGGACCCTGCATGGATCCGCAAAAACCTCTGAAGAAGCACCAAAGGTGCATCTATGGTGTCAATATGGATTCCTGAAAGAGGATTCTTCCTGAACGACAGTGCTTCACTGTCCTGCCCGGCAAGGACTCTCCTGGCGACACGGACTCGGTCTCCGTGGAATCAGAGCTTTGGGTCAACCAGCTTCTCTTTTGGGCAGTTGTTGGTATGATATGGTACAAGTATGATGTACCATGGCTACTTGATGTTGGCAGACTCGTATTTATCACGACCGTTGCCTAGATTTAAGGTTCGCGAACCTCTTCACTGATTCACTACAAACCAAAACACGGCTTCACAAAGACTTCACTCGAAGGGCCATGGACTCGGCTTCAGTCCCCTTTTGCAGCTCGGTTCGCTCAGAGATGTCGACCCGGAGGTGTCAGCACTGAGGTGTACCACCCAGTTGGCTTCGAAAGCCTCACTTCTATAACCGTTGTTTAGAAGAATGCTACAGCCGGGCTACCCCATATTGATACACATGTTGGATTCGAGAAATGAGTTTAAGGCAACAGCCAACCAGAATCAACGAGATGAATCCAACCAACCCTGACCTCTGGTGTCAGAAATCTTCATTAACGTTGCTGCCCAGTCTGACTCTCGACTCTGCTCCCTGTTGCCTAGTTTGCACGATCGTCCAAGCACCGTCCAACGATCGACACCGACTCCAGCACCGACTCCAGCAACTTCCGATTTTTTCCGCAGCTGGGCTGAGCCACGCAGAAGGCCACGCGCCACGCGCTACGGTCGTCGCTACGGTCGTCCAGGTTTCTGCGGTCGGCGCGAGACGTGTGAGGTGATTTGGTTATCCGAGTTCTCGAGAACTCCGGGCGCCAAAACAAGTCCAAAGTGCATATCACACACCATAAGTAACACACATAAAGTACCAAAGAGAAGGCACATGTTCCATGAGCATCATCATACATATTATGTATATTATATTAAATACAAGTGTGTCGTCAAGTGTGCTACCAGTAATAGGTTCACATAGAGGTCACTCTCAGGTCGAAGGTTGGTAACTCTCAGGTCGAAGCGGAAACCTGAGACAATTCAGCCAGGCGGCTGGTAGATTTTGGAGGTGAGGAAAATGTACAGAATCTAGGGATGATTCGCATATCCAATTGCAACATCAAAGGCTGAGCAAGAGGTCGCGATGAGTGCATAGGACATCATAGGACGCATTACACCATGTTGCACCAGCTGCATATATGACTAATAGCAGAAACACCTTGGGCCTCAGGTCTCGAAAACCGGATCTGTAGCAAACATTCACTTTCAAGCACTGTACGACTCAGACCTTAACAAACAAAGGTACCTGTAATGGAGTAATGAGACCATTTGTCTCACTTCAGAAACAAACACATACTCATTCGATCTCATTCATTATCACTGTCAACTCAAACCTTCTAAGGGCGCGGGATCCTGGCAATAATCCCAATGGTTGATCTGTGTTGAAGCTGTCCTTGACCTCTTCCTAGTGACATCCGGCCCCCCCCTTGACATCTGGCCTTGACAGTGGGGGGTCCTGGGTCCTTCGGTGTCAGGACGGAGTGTGGAGTGCCCCCACTTCGCTCCGTGCCACTTCGGTCCGAGCGGAACGCGTTCCGGATGTGAAGGGACTGGGCGGTTCGGGCTCGGATGGTCACAGCCATGTCCGGTCCAGCGAGCTTGAGGCCCAAAGCATCGGTCGTGATAGGGCAACGAGGCATAGTTCCAAGATGTGGTTTCGTGTGCCAAACTGCGACTGAATCATCCCTTTGCATCAAAGCATCGGCCTGGCAGATAGCACTTGGTGGCTCTACCTCCAGCGCTTGCTGCGTCCCTCCGAAACGCAGCAGTAGCGGCAGCGCTCTGTGGCTCAGATGCTTTGACGCACCAGCAGGAAGCTACAGATCATCTTACTCATGGATGGAGCAGAGGCTATGAGTCAAAAGCTCCCCCACTGCTTTGAATGGTCGGTTGACATCCTGAGCATAGAAGGAATCAGGTGGTCAACCAGCGGGTACCCTGACCCATGACGCCATCTCTCTTCTGCAGGCCGAGTCCATCGACGGCGCTGCCGCGCGCTGCCCGAGTCGGACGCCCGCCCGCAGCCCGCTCACCCTTCGCACGTCCGCACTGTGCGCTGGCGTTATCCAGCTGCATTGCACGAAAAATTTGGGTGACTGCAGCAAGTGCTGGCAAAATGGAATAAAACCGGGAATCAGGGACTTCCCCTGGACTTCGAAGTGGTGTGCTGGATTCTTGTTGTAACGGTGCCGGACAAGGAATCACACAGAACTCGAATGCCTAAACATGCCGTTGCGTGAGAAGTGCTTGTCTGCGGAAAGCGCTCCGGCGTCGTCACGAGCCAAACCATGCCCAAGAGAGGCAAGACTTGCGATCAACATCTTATATGATTTCTTTTAGGTTGGAGGCCATCGCTATGAAGTTGGAGGGCATCGCTTTTGGGTTGGAGGACATCGCTATGAAGTTGGAGGCCATCGCTTTTGGGTTGGAGGATATCGGTATGAGGTTGGAGGCCATCGCTTTTGGGTTGGAGGCCATCGCTCTAAGCCACGGCAAGCACCTGCTGCAGCGAGTCACCATACACTGTATCTCTCCCAGTGGACCCATAAATACTACGTTGAAAAACACAACGACACGTACATAACGAAGGAAAAGCAGCCACTTTAGTCGTTTTGTTCACCTTTCAATGGACATGAATCATGAAAGCAAACATCTCAGCAGTTGGAGTAGATGGTCTTGAATTTGTTTGTGTTTTGGCGAAGAACGGGAGTAGTCTGCACCAGTCTGGCAATCCTGGTTGATCCGCCCTTTTCAAAGGCCCTCCACTTTTTGCTCGTTGGCTGATCCACTTTTTGCTTGACCGGAAAACGGAAAAAACGCTTCAGAAACTCTCCATCCTCCCTGTCCTCCCTGTCTTGGGCTTGGTCGGCTTCATTCCGTCTCCTCACTTGGCACCACGTTGACTGCTCTTCCTCATCGGAGCGTGGTCACCCTTTTCCCGGCCCCTTTTGGACCATGTTCAAGTGGTGTTTTTGTTTTTCTTCTACAAGGCTTTGGGCAAAAGGTCCTGGGATGTTAGACTCGCCCAGACTTCAGTTTTTGGCCGCAGCAAAATAAACAAAAAGTACAATCAAACAATATATAAACAATAAGTGCATTAACAAAAGCATTATCGATTAACATATATAAAGATCAATCAGAATGAAACCATCCAACAAGTCCCCACCCAGCCTCCAGTTCCAGCTGCTCCAGCCACTCTGTCTCTTGGTCTCCTCCACCTCTGACTCCGTGGCGTTGCCAATGGAGGTCCCACTGATGGAGCTACTCACTGCGCCTGATGTTCGAACCGCCGGTGAGAAATCGAGAAACGCTTTCCATCCCAGGCAAGCCACGGGAGTGGCATCCCAAAGCACCGATGGGTTTGGATGGATTAGCCAAGGCACAACTTCAGAAAGTAAGTAGACTCATTTGTCAAAGCAAACTTAAGATTTGGTCTGTGTAATTAGAAGATGCTAGAAGACTTGGGTCCCAATTTGCTGTAGCTAGACATGTTTTGCTCCCCAGCATGATGAAATCTTTCAAATGTACTTTGAGTCGGGCCTAATTGATTCCAAACTATAATTCAAAGTATAGGGTGCCGTGTCTACGATGATTTCAGGAGTCCTTCCGCAAGGAGGGGTCCCTTTACTCATCGTCCTGGATAGTCCGGTGTACCAGTCTCAATCCATGCGCCAGCCGAGACACCTTCATCCGAAGAGTCCAAACATTCGACCTAGGTGAACCGGATCCAACGATCGGTATCACAAGCTCTTCAAACTTGTGAGACATGACATTGGACAACAGCTGGATGTGCCAGCCAGCCGAAGCATGAACGTGGTGAAACTCACTTGCCAATGAAAAAGCTGGCCTCTTGGACACTAGATTGGTTCATCTTCTTTCAATTTCCTCGCCTAGAGTAGCCTATACTAGTGCATGGTCGATGCAACCTCTTTGACCCCCGGTACATCCTAGTGATTGGATGCATCCCACTTTTGAATGGAACTCACTTGGAACCCAAAAAAAGAACAATAACAGGCAACCTCCTGGTCTGACCAACAGCCAAATGACCCCACCAATGGCTGCATTAAGCCAATGGCCGATGCACCACTTGCCACTTGCCTTTGTTTGCCAAAAAAGCGTCCATGCGCCAGCGGCGGGCATAGGTGATGGCTAAGATCATGGAAATGACGCCGCAAGCGGCTGCTAGGATCCTCAGAGTGTTGTTTTGATTCTCGGCGTGGCATGGGACAAGACATAGCTGCTCAATGACTTCAGAACTTGGATATATATATATATTTATGTATATAATTGGCTTGAGAGTAGATAGAACAGCCCCCAAGTTTGGTGGTTCAAAAAGGACTACCATTTGTCCAACACAGCTTGCTTGCGTCTCGACGTGTCGACGTGCCGACCTTTCGACGGTGTGGTTGTCTCGACTTTCACAGCTTGCACCGCGCTCGAGTCATGCAACATGCTGGAATCCAATGAGCAGGGTATAGGTTACTGTTGTCCAATGAACATGTGACGTGGATGTTCGGAACACGTCCAAGGGAGCCTCTTAAAACTTCTTGCACAAAAAGCGAATGGGAAGTGTTGTTCCTGCATTCAGCCCAAGCTGAGGCAGTCTTTGATGTTCAATCCTCGTTGTGACAAGGATCAACAGCAGTTCCCGATCATCGTTCAGATTCTGTCCTGCAATCGTGGCGCACTGGAAAGAGGCAATATGATTATGTGCTGATAAGTAGAGGATTGGATGGAGGTTGTTCTGAAAAGGACTGACTTCTTTCTTGGTTGCAAAGCTGTGTACATATTGTTTCGCTCAATTGTCTAGCCATCTATTTCACCTATTGATACATCTACTGTACTTACATGACAACTTCATGACAACATCACTTATAGGTTTCTTGGCATCATCGTGGTCATTGAACTTAAGAATCTCATCCGGTTGTATCATGCAATTCAAAGAACACGCAGCAAAAGAACGTCAACCCTGAATTGTACTCCTACAAGCAGCGAGAGGATCATGGCAGATTTCTCAATAATCACGCGCCAGGCCAAAATCAATGTCACCTGAGCGCGGTCTGAGCCTAGGCAGGTAGCCATTGGCCATTGGCAATCGTGGATGTATCTGGGGTAGGCAGGTCTTTGCTGAAGGAAGTCAACCTACCCAGTTCCAGGTGATGGATGGCCCGAGTCTTCGCGTTCTGGTTCCAGGTCCCCCAACATCACCAGTAAAAGTAAACAGAATTTGTGAGGAACAGATCGATCCTCAGTCTGTCAGTGTGTGTGTGTGTGTTTTTTTTTTGGTCTCGGGGCCCAAGACTAAGGTGTACGCACCATGTGGAGAGGTTGCATTGCCAACACACTCGGTGTCAAGTTGCTTGAAGAGGTGGAAGACAGTGGAAGAGGTGTCCGAAGTATTGCATACATGGACCAATGTGATGGATGCCAATCCCTGAAAAGTCCCCGGTACTGGATCCTTTACGGATTCCCTATTCATACATCTCTGGATCCTTTACGGATTCCATACCAATACGTACATCTAATATCATCTTGTGAATCCTATATGGAGCCCTGTCCACCTGGAGTCCTAGACCGTCCTCAGTCACCCCTGTCCCTGGACACCGAACCTTGGTTTCTCCTCTCGGTGTAAATGCCTCTGCCCACCCACCACTTCATTGAGGCGGCGAGTCACGTCATCAACGGTCATCAACCATCAATGGACAAATCACATACGTTAAAATTCTCTATGTTCTTTTCTCCTGCCCTTCTTTCTTAACCCATAGGAGCTTGTTCCGACGATCAGCTCTCTCTTTCAGGGTAGACTCTTCATCAAAAAGGCTATAACGTCCCTCCTTTAGGCATAGGCGGAGTAGTGAACCGTCCATTGATTTCGTCAACGAGTCAGCAAGTTGAGCTCTTGAGCTCACCCAGCGGATGCGGCAGCTTTCCTTTAGGCGTTCCCTAATCAACAAACACTCCAGACACGTTCGATATTCCTCACATGAGGGAACTGAAGTTCGGGTTGCAATATCACATACAGACTTGCAATCTGTTGCCACTGCTGCTGGATGATCTTCGCTCAGTATTCGGCTGGGATCTGTGAGGTCAATTGATGGATCAACCAGCCATTTCCAGAACAAACGGAGCCATGACAGTCTGTCAAGACATGAGCTCAAAGCGACTGCTTCTGCACTGAGGGTTGACCTCACCACACGAGCTATCTTCCGTGAAGACCATGCCATCGGGCACACCACACTTGGTTGGTTATCAAGGATTCTCTTGTCCGTCGCAAAAATGATCTGGCCTTGTCTGGATGAAAGCTCTCGGCATGTGGCAAATGAGGCATCCGAGTACGCACAAAATGTGAGAGCGTGCACCGGCAGTGGAACAATATACAGGCATACTGGGTGTGTTTTTGCTTCATGCAGTATCCGGTTCAGAGTGAGCATGTCTTCAACCTTTGCTCTAGTCACCTTTGACTGAACCTCTCCTATCTTAGCGGCCAAGTCTGGTCGAGTATTGACTGCTGAATACTGAAGGGAACCTACCAGTTGCCTGATCTCCTGCCTTTCGCTCTCAGTCACCGGGTCTTGGAGTTCTGCTCTTCTTGTCTTGGGGATTTGAATTGGGGAAATCTTCTCTATGTAATCCCTCTGGTCAATCTCAATAGAACCATCCTCCCACTGAAAGTACTGAACCCCACAGAAGATGAAACTCTTCTCCCGGTAAGCACCAAAACTAAATTTTTCTTGGAGACTTGTCAGGACCGTGTGGAAGTATTCATCACCTCCACCTATCCCATCATCCACATGAATCCCGAGCACCCCACGAACCTGAGGTCTTTGGTCTGGTCCTTCGGTAATCAATGAAAATACACAATTATCAAACGGACAACAAACAAATCCCAAACCCTCAAGTGTCTTCCTGAACGAAGTATACCACAAATAAGGACCATCCACTCGACCGTAGGCTCTGCCCTGAAGGAGGCATTGATCATCTCCTTTCATTTGAAGAGCTTGTGCCATCTCTGGAGGTGCTTCTAAACCAAGACGTCGGCCATCCCCTTCCCCTTTGAGAAAGGCGGTAGACACAAAGTTAATGAGCTTCCACTTCCTGCTACTAACGGTCTGGAGCAATAGCATCCTCCCATCCTTACTCAAGGTGGGGGCGTCATTTGGGACATATGACAGCCCTGGGTCAGTAAATCCCAAAACTACCAACCTCGCTTTTGCCCGCCTCTCTCCACCCGGGGTTTCAGGGGGTTTCCAAACAAGAATCCACCTGCACCTCATAATCTCCTCCGGCTGGAGGGTCCCGGCTGTCACACGTTTGACCGTGCCATGGTCCAACCATGCCTTGAGCTCTTTGTTCTTGGCAGCAGAAAACTTGGCTCGGTCCTCTACACTCAGGTCCCCCCACCTAACCTCAATCCTCTCCTTCTTTGGATTGGTGGTCAACATGGCTTCATACACTTGCATGCATGAACAGCACTCTTCTGTGGTGAGGGTAGCCCAGGGACCGTCTTTGAAGGTGATCTCAAAGCATGATTCTGTGGACCATTGCTGATCATCTCCAAATGCAAACAGCTCATCATCACTCGGGACGGGAACATCAATTCCGTCAACTTGCATGTCATCGCTGTCCCAAATCGGCACTTCTGGCGCCGATCCTTCATTTGGAGAACTTGGGGGTGCTGCTTCACTTTCTGGCTGGGAAATGGGAGGGATCTCAACATCAATCATATCACTGGGACCTTCACTGGGTTCATACTCTTCATCAGGTACCCCTTCAAGTGAAATGAAATCCCTAGGACCCTTCCCCTCTGCCAATTCTTCAGGTTTCACTCCCCCAGACGAGTCTTTGGGAAGGAGGTGGTATTCTCGGAGAGATGCGGGTCTGACCTGTTCAGGGCTGGCCCTTACTAACCTTCCTCCATGACTCAACCACAACACCCTACTTCCCTCAACAGCAATCACCTGTGAGGGACCATACCACCTACCCTTCTCTCTCCGTGAACTTTGTTGGGTCCTCTTCCAGTAAAGTACCCAATCCCCCCTTTCATACATATCACGACTCGGGCGTGTTCTTCGAAGCAACGCACGGCGAAAACTTGAATCGTTATCTGCAGATATGAAACTCCTTCTAGCCTGTTCTCTTCTCCACAGACTTTCTCTAAACTTGATTCCTTCTGGAGTTCCACTCTCTGCCAGAACATGGCTACCTGCAAGGTCGTCTGAAACCAGGGAGCCAGGTAGAGTTCGAGCCTTACCCAGTAGAGCTTGCTCCGGTGTAAAACCATTGACCCTACTCAAAGAGTTCTTTGCTGCAAAAGCATGTCTCAAACAGGCCCGAAACTCATCCTCATTTTGAATGGGTTGTTCGTTGTCCATCCTAGTCAACATCCCTTTTATGATGGCTCCATGTCTTTCCGTTCGACCTAGCCATGGTGATCCGCCAGCTGTCATTGCCAATTGGATCCCTTCCTTTTGAAGGAAATCCCGCCACTTGTCCGTGACATATTCTCCGGCCGGGTCAACGTATAGGGTTTTACATGGTCCTGCCCATTGTAGCCAGGTGTCCTCAAATGCCCGGATCTGATCTTCAGTGGTCCTACTGCATGGAGTCCCCAAATGAAACAGCGTACCCTCATCTAGGAAATGAACAAAATAGTAGCTCTTTCCCATTTTCCCACTCCAATACACCCCATCACATCCTACTTCATCGTCAAAGTCCAAGTCACGGTGTATGGTTCCGGGTTTGCTTGACATGGGGGCTCCTACCGTTTCCGCACATGTTGCGCATTGGAACTCAGCTGCTCCATCCAAAATATCTTGAGGTGATCCCCTTTCCCTAAGAAACTTCACAAAAAGATCAGTTGAGGGGTGTCCCAAATTCTGATGGAGTTTGCTGATGTCCTGGCGCTTCTCGGATGACAGGCGGTTGTAAGCGGGTCCTGACACCGCGATTGGTCTGGGAGCCCATCCGGTGGGATCCGGACTTGCCAGTTCCTTTCCTCCCACTACCTCTAGGGGTTCCTTCAAAACAGGCACCATCTCCTGGTCTTCCCCCCGTGGTCTCCCAAAAATGGTAATTGCAAGTCTGGAAGGTCCACACGCTCGGATGCGCTTCAGCTTGCTCAGTTTGAGCCATTCCTCTGGGGGACCCGTGTCCACACACTCCCCAGTCTGTCTGTGTACATAGACTGTCTTCCTGAGGGGTATGGACTCCGTGTCGCTTTCGTTCGGAGGAATGCGATATCGGTCGGTTCCACGGCATGAAATGACCAACCGGACATCCATCTCTGGGACTTTTGATCCAATCCTTTCACTTAACTCTCTTCCCAGAATGTGAACCCCAACACGAGGCGTTTCGGATGACACGCTTTTCATCAGGTCGTCCCACGATGTGTCCTGGTGATCATCAAATGCAGGTGGTCTTGCTTGCTTAAAATCGCATCTCCGCCGCTTCAGCCGCAAAGACTCGAGAGCAATTCCTCGAGAATCTGCCGATCGTTTTTGCCGTTCGGAAGCCTCAAAACCTGCCAACAACTCTTCCACAACAAGGGGGTTCTCACCACTCTCCCTACTCCTAATCATCACTCTTACCATGTGTTGTGCAAAGGTTGTGGTGTATCGTGCGGCAAATGCTGAAATGTTCTGTCTGTTTTCCTGGTATGTGTAGCTTCCTTCGATGGTCCGGTGTTCATGCTTTTGTTGGCACCACTTGCCATGGAGCATCTGGTGAATCAACCTGGAGGTCGTCTGTACGTTGGAGCGCTTCCGAAGGTACTTGTCCGTTCCCGGAATTCGCAGTTTGCCAACAGTGCACTGGTCAAAGGAGGCTGTCAAAGTTCCTGACATGATGTCATATACTTCTGGTTGCCTCAACATGTCTGAACCTTGAGGTTGCTCCAAATGAAAATGTCGTCCATGAGAAACTTGATGCCAATAGATGCCATTATATAACTTCAAATACCTTCGTTCAAATTCTCGCATGAACAAAATACGTGATTCGGATTCTCTACTTCGTGTCATGTTCAGTCGGGAAAAACCCCCCCCACCCCTTACAGTCTGGAGCCGTCCAGATATGGCGTGGTTCATACATATAGATCCAGGTCCATAATTTGTTGACCCCTTCTGCTGTTGAAAGATCTCCATCATCTAGAGTAAATCTCAACCCTTTTCCTCCCATCTTATTCATTTGAGTGGTCATCTGGGACTGGGGAAAACAAAAGATCTCCATGAGGTCAACGGGCCGATCATTCGCTGGATCACAAACCGGTTTCTGAGGTCGTAGACAAAAGGGTCCTTTGGTAGGTAAGGTGGACAACCCGTCCTCAATCGTTTGAACAACTTCCGTCAATCGTTTCTGGACCTCAGCAACTGGAGTCTTCGAATTTGTCACCTTCGGTTCACTGTCGGGTCTCACGGTGTCTCCGGCGTCAGCGCGACATTCTGATCCTCGTAGCCGTGTCGAGCGAGCTCCCTCTGCAGCACTGCGATCTGAGTCTGAAGGGCATGAATGCGCTGCTGATTTGGCTCGATGGTCATCGGCTTTTCGTCTTTGGCTTTTGGGAGAGCCCTCTTGTGAGATGTCGCTTTGGAGCCGGTTGGAATCTTCTCCGTGGTCTTGGTCATCGGTCCTTGGGTCTGATGAGCATCCATGTGCTCCATCGTCTCCCAGTCGATGTGGCTCCACTCGCTCTCGGTGGAGGCTTTGCCTTTTGTCTTCATCACCGGCATTTGCGATGCCTCTGCTTCCTTCTTCCGGCGAGCCATGCAGTAGTTCTGGAAGCTGCGCATGTCGACTCCTGTGAGCCTTTTGTGGTGCAGGATGAAGTTCACATAGTTGGTGTCCATCTCGAACAGCACATCGAATGACTGGCCGGCATGTTTGCCGGTGGTCGTTTTCTCCTGTCCCCATTGCTTGAGGCTGGTCATTCCCGGTGGGATCATGTATGTGTAGTCCAAGGCCTGTCGGGTTGCCGACATCAATGTCGGATCTTCCTCCCCCGACAGCTCGTCCTCCACGGAGTGTTGAGCCATTGTCTTCTTCATTGCCATGATCGTGGGTCTTTTCGATGTCGATCTCGGCCTTCGAAAGGATGTTCACTTGAGCGGTCTCTTGGGCTGCGTGATCGTTCTGAATCAAGTCTGTGGGATGCTGGAACTCTGTTTGTTTCTTTGGTGTCTCCTCATTCTGAATTCTGCTCTCTTGCACGTGGTGGGTCGACTTGTGGTGTGTGTTTGTGTTCTGTGAGGTTGAATGAAACACTTCACCCTTTTCATCATCAAAATCAACATTCAACAACTCCCTAACACTCACACAAATCAAACGCCGTCGAACCTTCCGCAAACCAAGTTCTTGTCTAGCCCCATGGAACCACAGTTTCCCCCTATAGGAATCAATTACCCCCTTCATTCCTTGAATAACTGCGTTCGACAACAAGAACGGTGTGCTTCCGGGCACGATCTCGACGCGAAGCCATCCTCTGCCTTTTCTCTGCAAAAACAAGGCTTCTTGAGATTGGAGCGTGCCGCTGTTTCCAAACTTGAACACACAACTAGAGGGGCCCCTCTTTACCTTGAGCCCCTTCAAAGCTTGAACCAAACTTTCAACCCTGCGACTCCCGATCACGGTTCGGCTCGCTCCGGTATCCAAAATAGCTTCGTCAGAAGCTTCTTCCATCATCTGCCCCAGTCCAGTCTGGTCATGGACATTCAAGGCTGGAAGGATCGGAGAGGAGGCTTTCTCAAAATTGATTCGCGTCTTGGCTGAAGGTGCAACTTCAAATCGCCCCGGCCTCTGAGCGACTTTGAGGGCTGATCGAAGATTGTTTCCAAAAAACCCACTGTCCCAAACAGTAAAGATCTGATCCCCCTCGTGTGTCCTCTGAGTCTCAAGTCCCTTCCAAACGACCGGTGCGATCGGACCTACCACCCTACCAAACTTTTTACTAAAAATGGAACAAGGCTCATAGTCCTGGACGTCGTCCGGCAAGGTGTCCATGAGTTCCGGATCTTGCTCCGGTTCATAGGGTGTCTCCGCCATGGTGGTGGTCTCGGCCTGTCGCTCAAAGCGCTGAGGGCATTCTCTCTTCCAATGTCCAGGCTTGGAGCAAATGCGACAGGTTGAGTTCGCGATCCTCTCGGCCAGTGTCTTTCGAGGCGGAGTCCATGAGTTCTTCCATGACCCCTTCTTTCCCTTGCCTTTGTTCTGCTGGTTGCCACCTTTGCCCTGACCTGGTGGCCAGAATCCTCGTTGGCGAACTCGTTCACGAAGTCGGGCACGGGCCTCTTGATATGCCGAGAAACAACTTGCCAGTTGACTCGACTCCTGAACAGCATTGATCACCTCTTCCTCAAATTCTGCCACGAACACTGCGTCTTCGTCTCCTTGATCTTGGAGGAGCTGAAATGCCTGTTCCTCCTGCTGTTCATCAGGAAGTTCAAAAGTCACCATGGTGTCTTCCTCATTGGGCGTCTCCGTGATGTTCACGTCATAGGTCTTATTCTTGGGCTTTGCTTGTCCATGAAGATCAGTAAAGAACTTCGATCCCAGAAGACGAACTCGGTCTCGGGTTGGGCCATACTTCAACTCACCATCCGACTCCACGATGATGCGTTTCTTGTCCTCCGAGGTGAGGGCTGAATGTCGGAGGAGGATGTATGCTCGAATTTCTTCGAGGCTGATGCCTTTCTCTTTGGCCATCACTTCTTCAAAGCAGGCATCGTGCCTGGCTAGATAGCTGTCATTTGTCTCATCCCCTTTCTGAACCGTCAGAAACAGCGCTCGCTCGAACTTGAGGTAACGGTCTTCTGCAGAAAACCTTCCCCATTGAAGGCCTAACGCGGCCAAGATTGCTGCCACACCCTTCTTGGACTTGAGTTCCTCTGGGCTGATTCTTGAAATCTTCTTGAATGAAACTGGGTCACACTGGAGAGCTGCTCTTGGGGCTAAATGTCCAATGTGTTCTTCGGGCCAAATGCTGGCCAGAAAAGTCAGTTTCTTTCCATAGTCATCCAGGTCCGTGTCACCTGCCACGAAGCTTGGGATCTGTGCCCAAGGTAGCTGACTCGCCGGGAGTGATCCCGGGTTTCGGCCTGGAGCGGCCTCTTCCGCCGGCTGTGCAGCTTTAGGGGCCATGGCTCACTCACACGATGGAGGCAAAATGTCTTTTCCACCAAAACTTCCTATCACCACCAACCAGGGTCACCCTGAACCCCCCAAACACACCTTGCCCCTTGTTTAAGGGGCTCCGCTACCAATGTGAGTCCTATATGGAGCCCTGTCCACCTGGAGTCCTAGACCGTCCTCAGTCACCCCTGTCCCTGGACACCGAACCTTGGTTTCTCCTCTCGGTGTAAATGCCTCTGCCCACCCACCACTTCATTGAGGCGGCGAGTCACGTCATCAACGGTCATCAACCATCAATGGACAAATCACACATCTATAATTATATATATATCTTTATATATAGAATTATGGCATGCCGCAAATCCGTTTCTGACCATTTTCAGACTGCAAGTCACTGTGACGGCTGCCACCAGCGACAGATTCCCGCAACGCGTTTGCGGTGCAGAGCCCATGAAGCGACGGTCAGTGACGCAAAAGAGCAAGGCCAAGCTGTAGACAGGCAACAGAATCCCATTGAACCTCGGATCCAGCGACATTCTTCCAGAGTCCAGTTATGCAGCGATCCTTTCGTCTAGACGGAGCATGAACACATTCTGTGTGATGGCGAGTTGACTTTGGTCCCAAAACCCCCCAGGTTTCTAAGGCCCGGGGCGACGGAAGTGCAATTGAGCTGCTACGTGAAATCGGATGTGCTGAAGGAACCAGGGCCGCCAAAGCTCAGGAACCAGGGCTGTTAGTTCTCAGATTTGCTTTTGGATGTTCATTTCTTGGGAAGGCGCCCGAAAAAACAAAGGAATGGGGGGCCGTAGAACAAAATTGGATGCATGGAAGGCGAAGAAGGCGTGACGACTATAAGAAGTGACAAGAAGGACTAGGGGAACCAACTCTTCCCCAGAAATGGATTCAAGTCACTTTTTTGTTTTGCATCTACAGGTCTGTGACCACAGGAGATTCCATGCACTGGGACAACTAAACAACAAAAACTCCAATCAGTCAAAGAGGTCCGCAGTTGTTTCTTCTGACCGCGTCCAGAACTCCTGGTCTGTGATACCATCCTTCCAATCGAACGCCCTCAAGAGCTAGCATCAGAGATCTTCAGGTGCCTAAACGAACATCTATAATGAGATCCCATTCCAACTAAACCAGTCATGATCTTTTGAGTGAGGCCTAGTTGATTGGGAGGGGGGTTCCGGATGGTGTCTACCCTGGTAGATTCTACAAGCATGAAGTCATTCCAATGGTGGATGGTAGATCCTGGTAGATCCTAGAAGCATCAATTCAAGGGAAGATCCTAGTAGATCCTGGTGGATCAGTAGATCCAATGGCTCCATTGGATGGTTCCCATGCATGTCCGCTCCCTTCGTCCACGGGGCAGCTGGGCCACCAGGATCACCGTGGGCCGCGGCAGGTTGGCGATGATCGCTGTCATGGCGATGCACACCATCGTTACAGCCTCACTCACTTGGTCACCAAGCGTAGAGGTGTGTAGAGATTACCCTACGGCTCCTGGCCCACCTACCTCCTGAGAAGATGGTTGGGCTGGGTGCCAGGGGGTCTAACCACCTTCTGAGGATATGGTTGGAGCCCTAGGGTTAAAACACATAAATAAATGCAGAGGACACTTAATAGCAATGGCCTCCATACTAATAGCGATGGCCTCCAACCTACTAGCACCAAGGGTAGAGGTGTAGAGACTTTTGGAGACATGGGTTGGAGGATGTAGGAGCTTGGAGGGAGAACTGGAGTTGATTGAATGGAGCAAGTGTAAGAGGAAGTGGTGATCTTCTCTGGTAGTAGTATTGCAAATGCTAGCGGGTAGAAGCGGGGCTGTGTCAGTGCTGTGGAGAACTTGAATCTGTGATTGGCTATGAGCTTGCAAATGCTCTAGCTAGCGCACGGACAATCCAGGTAGACTGCAGTACTCCATGTGCTGGCATTTTGTAACCCAACTGAATCTGAGACTCTTCTATTTTAGAAATGCCCCCACTCCCTGAATGTCTCTTGGACATAAAAGGTTTTGCAAAATTCAAGATAAGACAAACTCCCTGCACCAGGCCCAACCAACAAGGCCTGCAGCAGCCCCGAGGTTCCCGACGATGCTCCAGAAGGCTTTCTTGGAAATCTTCGACATGGCACCATTCTCGATGTCCTAGCAGCTAGCACGCCGGAGAGTGGTGGATCAAACCAAACGAGCAGTGCGTGCAAGGGGAGATTGCATCACCTCTAATCGAAACAGAGTTCTTGAGGATTGAGGATGGATGAGGTCCATGAAAACCCCGCCCGGCAAATGGCCTGTCCATGTTTACATCATGGACCTTCAACATCCGTCGACAGCTCCCCACAGCTTCGAGATTTGGATAGTGAGAACCTCCAGATCAGCTACTCCTAAGTGTATTTTCCTGTTGGATTTCTCTTCCAGTGATTCTGGTCTACGCTGTCTTGCCGACAGCGCCTCCATCACGGCTGAATACACATCTCAGAATATGTTTTTTCAAAGTTGCTAATCAGCACTGATAGTTTCAGAATGGTCTTTTCAATCTGACCATGGTCTCTCCAAAACTCCTTTGGGTCATTGCTAGTAGGGTGGAGGCATTGCAATCTGACCAGCGTCGGAGATTCGAGACCCAGGGGCCACCCCCCTGGTTCTTCCTCTTCAACCATCACCCGACGGTTGCTTCGGTCGATGGTCGTCCGATCTCAGGAGTCACGATCGGAGTGGTCACGATCGGAGTGTTGCTGGGTCGGGATCGCCAGATCCCACAGAGCACGTCGTGAAATAGGCACCAAACCCAAGTTCCCGTTCCATGAAGGGTCCCTCGCAGTCGCATGCTTTTGGTTGCTTCTTTTACATCTGCATGTTTATTGGGGTGTCGAAGTGGTTTCAATCCAATCGATGGTCTTTTCACACGGCTTTCATGCTCAAGTGATGTGACCCAATTATGAAGAATGCAGGACTCTTTCGATTTGTGATGAAGAATGATGAACTCACCCATAGTCTCTTATGTTTCTTGTCTCATCATCTCATCTGCTCAAATCTGCTCCAAATTCTTGGAACTCCGAGCTCCCCCAATGCCTCACGCTTCCCCCAATGCCTTTCCCCACCCAACGAAGTCACCGTCTCCCTCGCCTTGCCGGGCGGAAGAACCAAGCCTTCAGCAGCCAAGACCACGCCCAAGATCGTCTGGGCGAATGTGACCAGAAAGAGAGAGCGAGAGAGAGAGCATGGGCCGGCACCCCATGAAGACCTCGAAGCCGTTAGAAATGAGTTCGAAGCCGTTAGAGAAGGTAGGGGGTGTAGCTCAAACCACTGGATATATAGCACGTTTTTGATGTTAGGGTTTTAACATGTTTTAGCTCATGCCAAACTATAGAAACATGTCCTGATTTGTTGGCAAATTCATTCTGATGGTGTCCTTCTGCTTCCACTCCCTTGCCTAGCGGTTCCTGCTGGGGTTTCACTTGGCTCACTTGTCCCGCGGGATTTTGAGGTGGATCATTCGTGTGGATCGAAACAGTCAAAGGTGAACAAAAAGAATCTCGTTTAGGGGGATGTCCAAGCAACAGAACTTGGGAGGAGAAAGGCAAATACTTGCTAGAGGATCAAACCGAGTCAGGTTCCCGCCTCAGCATGCTGGTGCGCCCGCAGCCACTCAAAAAAACGGCAGGTTTAGTGTCTGCACTTCGGTCCAACCACTTCCCCTTGTCAACATCCAATGACGCTCAGAGACCTCAAACGCACACATGGAAACACCCTGAACACATGTTAAAACAATTCTCAGAATCCAAACCTCCAAATCAAATTCCCATGTTACACCTGCCAATTGGTCCATAATTACTGCTCACTTAAAATCTTACAGTGGCTGATTGAAGTCAAGAAAACTGGACTCTTCAACTCCCAAACTCTCCCCCCCCTACCCCGTGAGGTGAGAGGTCGTCTCATCTCCCTCCACCGCACATCTCCTTCCACCCCATCCATCCGACAGCCCACCGTGAGCATCGAGCTGAGTGCAGCCGCCACAAAGCCCACAGCAAAGGTGATGGTGCCTGGCAGAGCGTGGAGGAGACCGTGGAACGGACCGTGGGAAGGAGCCTTCGACGCTGCTCGTTGATGGACATATCTGGACATCTCTGGAACGGCGAAATCGCGGTTTGCGAGTTTGACCGTCCGATTTGGAACATGTTGAAGGACGTTTATGGTCATGTATGGACATGTATGGATCAACCACGTTGTCAAACATCGTTCCGCTTGTTCCTATGCGAACATTCCAGGACAATCCAAAGATGACACTCCATACCCAATTGCAAATCGACTGACATGGGCCCCATTTCGTAGTCGTGATGCATTGGACTTCGTTGGACTTGCCACTCAACAGTCATTCGGCCACCCTCCAACAAACATGCACGTGGAGCAAAGCCACCTGCCAACAAACATGATCTTCTTACAAGATTGGCCCCCTACTCCACGTCAATCTTCTGGATCTAAGCATCCTTAAGCTTTTCTAATGGCGGCCATGTCTAATCCTCAAGCACCCTTGTGGAAGCCTCGCATCGCCTTCCTATGCCTTCGCCGCCTTCCCAGCCTAGATGTCCGAAGTGTCGCTGGATCGCATCGGCCAACAAGCCGATGTCAAAGGTCCCTGCATGGTCGACCAGTCGACCGACGGTGGAGACATCGTCGGACTGGGTCCGACCTCTTTGGTCCGTCAAGGATGGATTCTCAGCTGATTCTGAAGCAAATACAGCTATAGAAAGTGATCATCCCATCATTATGCCCATATCCCATCATCCTGAACCGGATTTGCTTCACCCAGTTCGGATTTTCACATCGTTCCCACACGAAAACCAGGTTCCCCAAAGCTTTCATCCACTGTTCAAGTTTTTCACGGTTACACCACCCATGGATTTGAAGACGTTAACGTCTCGAACGTGAAACGCACCGAGCCACGCAGTTCGCTGGACTGGGCGCTGCCACTGCCCACCACCATGATGAGTACCGAGACAATCAAAGTGGCGAGATTCGAGAAGGCCTCAGCGTTTTGCTTTCGGCTTTTTGTCTCGTTTTGAAAAGGCCATCTCTCTACGAACATCTTCCAAAGAGCTCTTTGGAGCTTCTGAAGTGAGGATGTGTGAGTTCATGCCCACCAAACCCGGGAGCGGAGTCGGCGTTGTCTTTTTTTGGGGGGGGGCCGGAAGCACGACACACTGTCCAAGCAGAATGAGACGTGTCTTCGATCACTTACCCGATCACCTCTCCTGAAAAAAAAAAACAGGCGGGTCGATGGGACCCTGAAACTTGAAAAGAGAAGTCTTTCTTGAAGTCGCCTGAGCCTCTCTGATAGGCCTTTCATGTCGTTAGTCCACTGATGTCAAACGAATGGATCGAAAACGAGATCCACGACGGCCCAGCCCCCACCGAGGAGCGATGCCACGACGGCAGTCGCGGAGGCGCTTGCCAATAGCCATAGATCCGCCCAAGAAGACATTAAAACCAATGGCCGTGGTGCCCACTAAGCCTTGGCGAGCCAAGAAAAAAAACATAGCAGGATTGGTTGAGGCTTCTCACCCAATCCAAATCCCAAGCAAAAAGACTTACAGGGATTTTTCTACGAAGTTGAAGTCGTGCTTTTACGCAGCCAAACCACACTGATCAATGTTATGTATTACCTTGTGTTCTAAACCCCCAAATGCTCCATGGTGGCGCAACTATGGCACCACCACCAACACCACCAGTCATTGCGCGGTGGACCAGACCACGCCTTGAGAGACCAATGAGTCTCCATGAGAGCACACGCGGCGCGATTCGTCCAGAGGGAAGGAACCAACATACTGAGCTCACGGCGGCCCGACACATGTCCACCAGCAAGCAGCTAGCAAATCAAGTCACTACTGATTCACATCACCAACCACCAAACCACCACCCAACAACCAGCAACCATCCAACAACCACGAAACTACTTCTCACCAGCCATCAGTCACCAGTCGTCGCTTTCGCGCCCATGGCCAAAAAAAAGCCGGGTGGCTTAAGACCATCTCGCAGGGCGCGGCGGCGGAGGGCAGCGGCGACATGGGCGGAAGAGTGGGGATGAAGCCCAAAAGCAGCTGGGACCTTCGGGCAGTCCGGTCCGCGTGAACCAAGCTCGGGCGGGATGGTCGGACATGGAGTCCGAAGGTCGTGCACCCGCAGAAGAGAATACGAAAGAAATCCTGGTTTCGGTCAACGAAAAGAAGACGGAGACGAAAATCATTCAGACATGTCCACCAGCACTGGTTGAGTGGGGTGTCCCAAAGAAGGCTTTGCAGGTGATCCACGTACTTCCTGGGTAGGGCATGGGAGGCTGACTTTTGACTACAAGAGGCAGCAAGTCCGGCAGAGTCTATTACTAAGTCCGTGTTGGGGGTTCATTCTGCTTGGTCTATCAGACAAACCGATGCCATAAAACCAAACACAATTTCCTGGGGAATCTTCGGGAAGTCATGGGCAGTCACGGCACTCCATTCTGGAGAGAAGAATCCAGCTTGATCTGACCAACCTCAATTGATTTACCTCAGCTGATGGAGTCCTCAACCTTCAATGTCCATCATTGGTTCACTCGGTCCAAGGAGCCCGGAGACGTCCACTGTGCTGGCGGCCGCAAGGAAGAGTGCAACCATGGCCTGGGCCCATGATTGGTATCTCGGGGTGAAAAAGAACACATCCAAACTCAACATCAGAACGGGTTCTGGGAAAGACCACTTGGGGCAGTTGTGTTTCGTAATGACCTCATGTTGAAAACCAATTTGAAAACCAATGGTGGACATGGTTATATCAACGCTGTACTGGAGGCCGCCATCTATTTCATTTTGTGGGCTTAAGGTGGCAGCTTTTATTCCCAAATTCACTCCATGCAAACCAAAAACTGGCCTACAGTCACCACCCCGGCTACCACAAACTGCCTAAACCAGGCCATCTTTGCAATCCCTTTTTCCTAGACGTCTGGGCTAGGGAGTTTCTGTCCACAGCCGATGCCCAGAACCGACATCAGGGCCGCGTCGCCATCATCACCACGCCCAGACCGATGCCAATGGCGTCGACTTGGTCTAAGTAAAGGATCGCCAGGACCTAAGATTCGGTGCTCTGGTGGGGCTCACTTGGTATTTCTTCAATAGGTGAATATATGTTTTAAAATGTTAGTATTGATACATCATTTTTTTAAAAAAATGTATATATATATATACACACATTTTAACATATTTAAAGCTCTCAAAATGTTTTTGAGCATATGAATCATAATATAGGAAGGTGATCCATTATGATACTTTTTGGGAGCCCTCTTGAGCTCAAAAATTATCCTGGTTGAAATTAACTAAACTGCACAAGCTGTGCAAAATGGCGGCCTAAAAGAAAAAGAAGAAAACACACAATATTGAAGTGCTTATGGGTTGAAAATATCACAACAAGAACTTGTTATCTCAAAAACATTGACGATTGTTAGATTTGGTAGAGCATCAATCCTGTTCCTTTTGCAAACAAATTGCAGGAGGATGATCTTGGCCACTATTGTCTGTGAACATAAGAAGGTGTTGTTTCTTTCTCTCTGTTGTCTCTTTGTCTTTTCCCTCCCTCTCTCTCTCTATCTGATCAAAGGAAGTCTTGATGAGAATAAACGTCCGGGTTACGATGCATGACCTTGCAGTGACAATGCATGTGGGTGCAGGTCCAGGTGTTGCTTTCTTTGTTTTTTGCGCACGAGACAAGCACAGGAGGGACTAGAACAGCGATCTGGAAAAGAGACAAAAATCATGGTGCTCTCATGTGTTCTCGTGATTCTGAAATGAACATCCGAGTGGGCCTTTTGTTGACAAGGAGGTGACATTCTTACTGTCTTACTGAATCTATATCATGTTGTAGACTCTTGATTAATAACCCCTCTAATTGAATTGAACATCCTCTTCATATGGAGGGTTTATTAATCAAGAGTCTACATTAATATGGTTGCTCAAGCTACGCAACCCAAGTCGGCCGCCCAAGTCCTCGCCATCCCTCCTTTCGCCCCAGCGGCAGCCGTGCCATAGGCGAAGCAGCCAGCGATACGAACCGCGTTCAACGGCCAGGCGTCGATTCCTGCGCCGTGCCGCGGTAGTGCCACGTGACACACAGGGCCAAGTGAAATCGGTCATGGATGGTGATGGAACAGTGACTTCCTAGTGTGGAACATGCAACAAGATTTCAGAGTTGAACAAGGGAAGCAGGGGGAGGACTCTGAGGCATTGGATGAAGATCGCTTTCTAGGGTCTTTCTTTTGTGCATGAACGTCTTTCATTTGATTTACCTATAACTTCTTGGTCTGCCCTTGGATCATGTCCATCCAGTTGCTTCAGTGGTATTTGGGACCCCCACCTCCTTCTCCACTCCCTCCAGTCCGACCAGTCCGACCGGTCTGCATCGTAACTCACCCATGTTCATTCCGAACACCTGGTAGCTCACCGTCTTCATTCGTGTATGACTCACCCAAACGCCTTGGAGATGTGTTCTAACTGCAAACCCTCCGGATTGCACAGTGTGCCAAAGTGTTTCAGGAACGATGCGAACTGCGATCGGTGTGGGATATTTCATCCATTTCATTCTGTGCTCGCACTTGCGTTGTGATGAGTGGAGTCCTCAGGTTGGCCTTGACGCTTGCATGCACAAAACAGTATCTGGGTGGCTCCTGGGAAGGCGAAAATGGCATCAATGCCACCGGCAAAGTTGTTGCATTGGTACAGCAGGTTCCCACAGTACCTGGACTTCACATCAGGATGGGCTGCTGTGGATTTTATGAAGTTGAGTCTTTGAGGTGACTGCCTTAGGGTTTAGGAATTGGTGAACAAGCAGGGTGAGGAACTTGGGGGTAGGATTCCATCTGCAGTTATCATTGAGGCAGCCAGACATGAGGAACGTGGTAGACAGGCCACTGAAGCAATTCCACTGCTCAATGCGTCACTTCATGTCACTTCCGAAAACCAGTCTGACAGGATCAGTTTCCAGGTTTCCAAACTGATCCGAAGCCTACCAAGGCAAGCGTTTCACCCAAAATCCAATCCAATTCAAACCGACCACCATCTGCACCAACCGACCTACCCGTCAGGATACACAGCCATGATGAAGGCCCAACAGGCTCGGGGAGCAGGCCCTCCTGAGGGAGCATCTCCAGCACCAGGGAGCATCGTCTGCTTAGATAGGTCCAGATAGATATAAGTAAGTAGATGATCCATAGACCAACATAGATATGGATCAACATAGACCAATAGATGTAGATCAGTACATAGATGTAGATTCAAAGAAAAAACGTGACGCAGAGAAACAGTTCGGGGGTTGATTCTGTCTTTCCATTCCTCAGTCTCTTGCTGCAGATTCTTGATGCGTCGTGGTCTACGCCAAACGAAGAGAACAACACCAAGGAGGTCTCACTGGCTGAGGTGAATGTGTGTTCTTGGGTGGCTGCACCAAATGGTCACTCCATTGACTCAAGGACAAGGACAGGTAAATCCATCCATCTGCACGGGCTGAGGTGAATGTGACAATGTGTGTTCTTGGTTTTCTGCTCCCAATCGCAAGTCTCGCAAGTAGCGTTTTTTGAGAAGGGCGTCCTGAGATGGAGCCATTGAACTTCTCCTGCAAGCACCTGATGAAGAACTCAGACTCATGTCCAAAGAAGTGTTGAAGTATGTTGAAGTGTTAATGCAACAGATTTACCACGGGAAAACACCTCTGGTATGGAACTATCTCTTGAAACGATTCTAGGACCTGGCGGTAGGTTCCGGTTGGTGCGGAAGTCTGCCCGGTCTCGGCCAAGAAGGGGTGATCCCGAATGGAGAGTGTTGTGGCTTTCTGGTTCCCAAATACTTACAGTGTTGGTTCTACAACTTGTGCCACCCACTTCTTCAGTTCAATCAACGGGTTAAACTTTACATCATACTTTGAAGGAACAAAACACTTCAAATTGGACTGATTTGGAACGCACATTCAGGCATCGGCTGCTGGGATCCGAGGAAAACCGTCAGCATGTGACCTGAAACTGTCCAGATTTCGCCACGCGTGGTCGAAGCCAAGCAACTGTCCCAAGGTCTTCCCAGAAACCAAGGTCAGACGCGCGCTGCCCTCCTGCGACGGTTGATTCAGATGAGTCTAGCAAAGGTTCCGATGAGATATGAGCTGAACAAGACATATATGTCTGTGCACCCGTGCACCTATGAAAGGACATCAAAGACGTGACGGTATGACGGTATGACTGTATGACATATATCTGTGCACCTGGTGAAAGGACAGAGACCGGACAGGTTGAGATGGCCGGTCTTCACATGTACGCAACACATGAGGCAGGGATGGCAACACAAGAAATCACTTGGAGAACCCGCAAATGGATCAAAGGTATCTGCCCACACCAAACAAGAGATATGCATGCTCAATCCATCTACAGTACATAAATGTTTGCTAATCATTTGTTGATATTCGCTTCATATACGTTTGATTACTTTTGGTTAACTAACTGACTAACTAACTAACTAACTAACTAACTAACTACAACAAGAACAAAAACAAGAACAACAGCAACAACAACACCAGCAGCAGGAGCAGCAGCAGTAGCAGCAGCAACAACAACAACAAAAGAAAAAACAACAGAATTTGATGCCCCCAGCTCGTGTGGCAAAGGCTGGCATGCGGCATGACAGTCGTGTTCCAGGTTTCCCTCATGCAGCAGGTGGGCCTGCAAGGTGTAGGCCAGGATGGAGGCAAAGCACAAGGCCCAAACCAAGTGAAGCCTGCAAAGCGTCACCGGGCGCGCGCGTCCCTGGACGTTGGACTGCGCACGCGTCCCTTGGTCCGAGCGACCATCCGCAAGCACAAAGAAGCGCACAGAACTGAGCGCATTGGAGTATATTGGGGGTATCAAAGACTGCCGGTAAACACGGATGCTCACAGGGTCTTTCTAGGAATCAAATCCAAAGAAACAGTGTGGCTAAAGGTTTATCCAGCTGAAGGCTTCGTGGCAACAACTGGAAAAATGTATATATAATTCCCAGGGCTCCAACTACCTCCTCACCTGAGAAGGTGGTTTGGGTGGGTTTGAGGGGTCTAGCCACCTTCATCCACCTGAGGATATGCTTGGAGCAATAGCCAGGGAATATACCCTACAAGTTCCGGACCTCTGAATGACCTTCCAATGGTTTCGGTGAATGTTTGGGATCATCCCCCCGTCGATTGGAGAACGACACTTGCAAGGCACAAGCGACTAAAAATGGGTTTCAAAGGTTCGATGGCACAAGTTACCCCAAGTTTGCTGGTTTTCAGGGGCCTCCATCCCAAAAAAACATCAAACAAACACATCTTGAGGTGCTAGTGCTCAGTGTACTCTGAAACCACTGCTTCCTCTTTTGGTTCTCCTTCTCTTTTGGGCCCCCACCGCCTCTCCGGGATCCGCCGGGCCACTGGTACTCCACTCCGGAGCGTGCGCAGGTCACCACCGTGCCGGGGCCCACAGTACAAGCGGCCAGCATCGACCAGTAGAGGAGCGACCTGGTCGAAGCGAAGTTCGGACCCTTCGGTGCGCGGAACCACGCGGCGAGTTCGGTGCGCTGAAGGGGGGGGAAGGCGGTTGGAACCGAAGAAGAACAAAGCACCGGAGGTGCATTTCGCGGCTTCACGTCCTTTGCGCCGGTGTGTTGATGTGAAAGGGCGGATGGTTTTGGTTGGTGCTTTCTCCGTGCGGAAAGGGGTTGGTCTTGGGTGAGTGGGATCATGGGCTTGGTGCTTGGTACTTTGATGGTGAGTCTGGAGAGAGAGAGAAGTCGTGGATCTGCTATATACTATAATAGGGAGACCTCCCAGTTCGACCCCCTGGAAGAAGGGAAATGGACCAGCCTCATGAGTCAACCGGCGGGTTGTCACTGGTCGTCGACTGCATGAAACTCCCAAAACTTGTTGAGGGTCCCCCCCTTTTACCAACAATACACCCATTTAGAAGGTGTCTTGGCAAAGACCTGCATTTTTTCTGGGATATCCTGATGGGTCAACTTCTGATTGCTGAACATTGACCTGAAGCCCCTGCGTCAAGGTGCAGCCTCTACAGGCACTGCAAAACCTTAAAGAAAGACCGCCTCTGCTGAGAATGCAGCGTGTAGTCTAACAAAATACCATCAACTCCTTCGAAGTCCAAGTGACCCTACATCTGAGAGGAAGCTCATGAGCTCTTACAGCCACACGTCACACGTCTCAGATGGAGACGCTCGTCTTGCGCGGCGCCGTCTGCTCGGTGTATGCTGAGACAACGTCACCGGTGAACTGTCTTGTAGAGCTTTTGTGTCTTGTACTTGAACTTAAGTCATCTAGCTGCCTGAATCTGAACAACGCATTGCCGGATGATTCCTGGCTTTCTTTGCCGGATTCCGGATGATTCCTGCCAAAAATGTTGGAAGTCTTCTCGCAAACCACGCTGCTCGTGGAAAGCTTGGCATGTTTTGGGACAATGGACGTGCCCCCCCTCCGGGTGCTCCTTGAGCCCGCTCCGGGCCGCGATGGGTTTGACAAAAACATGGCAACTGCCACAAAATGTCCCTGGTCCAGGAGATCTGGCTGGCTCTCATGGTGTTGGGGTGTTTTCAAGCCACCAGTCTTGAGTATATGAAGTCGAATCTGCCCCCCCAAGAGTCTGAGTCAGGATATGTTCCATAGGAGGGGTCATGACTTTCGGAAGAAGTGAACATTTCACAAGCCTGGCAAAAAAATAACATCATTCTGGCATATTCTGGTCAAGAACAGAACCACTTAGAATAGGCTGACCGTGTCTGCCACGGCTGAACTACTGTTTGTATAGTGATTAGCTATTTATATTGTAACAATGTAATGTATACAGTCTATATATATATATATTATACACCCTTCCAACTAGCCTTCCAGAGTTGGCCATGCATCTTCGTCTTCCATTCAAACCAGTGATCCACATTGGTCGACCGGTCCAGTCTGTTTGGTGGCTATCGACAGGTCCTTCGGTCCTTCCCTGCTTCGCAGTTGGCACACAGGCACCAAAGAACGGGGGTCTCCGTTTGAACTTTGCTGTGACTCATTCCTTCGAAGGATCTTCTATGGGCTGCCCTCTGGCTCTGTGGGGAGATCGGTGAAAGATCTGAAACCCACACCCTCCGCCCCGCCCACTGTCACAGAAGAAGGGCAGAAGAAGCATACGGCACAGCCATGCGCCCACATCGACAGTTTCCCATCCTCTGTCAGGCATAGACCTTTCAGCGGCTGAAAAAGTCACAGTGTCACACGTGAACATACGTGGAACAACACAGCCTTCCCAAAGCTCCTAAACAACTAACATGGAAAGTACCATGATGCGTTAGGGAGCAAGTGGACATTGTGATTGCAAATGCAAAAGTTTATCTACAGCAAGGTGCAACCGCTTTCTTCATCTGCACCTGCCAGTTGGCGTGGAAGGTAGCGGCAGAAGGCAGGCCTGGCATGAACATGTTCGCGTTGGCTTTGGTATCTGCATCAGCATCCATTATCCTTTGGAGTGAGGTTTTGACACATCATGTGGTCCGCAGTAGGGCAAAACCAATGAGTGGAACCAATCTCAATCTGAAACTTCCTAGATTACTGAAGCCTTTCTGAACTGCAACCTATGAAGTCCCTTGGGTGCCATTAGTACGGTATGTCATATGTAGTAGTATATATACCGCATTAATCCGTATGATAATTCCAAACAAGTCCTTCGAGCCTCATGTCTGTCCTCAGAAGTCTGTTGCCATCTGCTCACCCTCAAAACATGAGAAGCATGATGCAATCTTCCAAAGGGCCATGGGCACTCTGGAGACTTGCTAAGTACCGGGGCAAGTCTAAACTGCACTGTCGCGCTTGACTTGCACAGAGGCCAACGCTTCAAGGTCATGTAGCCTACAGCACCCCCCAAAAAAGAACATGTTGCCCTAGGAATCGTTGGCCGCTCGACGGTTTGCGCCTCGGACGAGAAGTCGCGGGCTGCGCGACTCTTCACAGATCCCTCGGGCGAGGAGTCCTGCGCCTCGGAGGAAGGGACGCCGGGAACCGCCCGACCAGCGGTGGTGCTGTAGTATCAAATTCAGCATCACTTGGAACACAGTCGAATCACTCATCGTATTTGACCGGCTCCGGGCCGGGGCACCGTTCGACCTTCCTGGGTCCACGTATATTGTGCAGATTGATCTGTCTTAGTGTTTGGGGTGTATATTGTCTTTGCATGATCTGTCTTCGATGTGACCGCTGGGGCGTCTTTCAGAGCGGAGAGGCACGGGATGAATCGACGTTCTGACATTACTTATAGCCTGCAAGTCCGAAGTGTAACGTTAAACGGAGTACAGTACTTTTCGAAAATAACTATAATATTTACAATTATCTGAAGCTACCTTCTCAAGTAGACCTAAAGCAGCAATATGCGGATCTTGGATACAGGATCACACCTCAGCTCGCAAGAAACATTCAGCTTCTCACGTCCAATCGGCATTTGAACACCATGCAGCTCGAGGATTGGGAACAAAACCCAAGGGGATGGTAATGTTGTTCCCAGCACATCCATTCACATTGTTTCACCTCCCACACAGGTGACTCCCACATCTCCCACGCGACTGGCTGCGTCACCTGCACTCGACTGGGACACCTGCGAAGTGAATCTGGATCGTGCACTTTTCGCGCTAACATGCTCCCACTAAGCGCTTCAGGGCGACTCTGGAGCTCTAGTAAGTAGTTATGGTGTGCCCAGTTCGGGGTGGTCATCCTCATGTGAAGAGAGCAACACAACCTTTGCGATCCAGCTTCTACAGTGGGACATGCATGATACAGTGAACATGAATTACAGTAATTCAGAAATGGAAGCGGATTGCTATTGTCCTCTGGAATTGCGCGTACTCATTTCCATAGAAGATGAGTCTGAGGGTAGCCTTTCAAGTCTTGATCTGTTTCAGCCTTGATTTCATTTGAGATCTCGTAGGAGGCTATTTAGCCCACTAATTCCCAATTCAATAAGCCGAACTTAGCTGAGTTAATATAATTGCCTGTTACGCATAAACAAGGGTCCAAGAATCCTCTGGACAACACTTCATGGAGCATCAGCCTTGTGCCTTAGAGGAATGAATTTAGTTTCTTTGTAATTATGAGTGTAAGCCTTGGCCATGTTTGCACCAAACGAAGCCGGACGATGTTGACCAACAAAGCCTTCCACAAAATAAAGGAGTTGATATGACTATAGGCTATAGGGCACTACAGGGGTTTTGATACTACTATATACCTTACACCAAAAGAACACAAGGTTTTGATCGTTTGTTGGGAAGTTGGGGACCAGCCGCCTTTACATAGGCGCCTATCCTATCTGCCGGTCCCTCTCCGCTCAAAACGCCTCGAAGAAGTCGACTCCTCAGGCTCGTCCTGACGGGAGTTGACCGTCACCAAAATACGACCGTCGCAGGGCGCCAGGGTGGCATAGGCAGCCAGTGGAAGTGCTCTTGGATGCTCTTGGTATTCAACCTGTGGTGAAGCAATTATAAGTACGGAGCACCTGGAACTCACCTGAGAGGAAATCAGTGGATGGCATGGTCCGTTGGAAGAATGTCCTTCCTTTGGCGAACAAAGGGGACAACGTCCACCTCCATGTGAGGTGTTCGATAGAGTGCATGCGAAATCATCCAAATCCACTTGTCCAACTCTCATCCTAATCATTCCACCAATCCATGTCTCCATGTCTTATCGATATGTCACCGGTCTGATAAATATATATAATTCTATATCTTCCAATCATCCAAATATCGAACTTCTCATGAAAGAGGATGAAAAAGGCATATGCTGAAAACCATTGAAAACCCAACTCTTCAATCCCAGCAGAAACCATCCACAAGAACTCCAATCACAATGTGCAAACATCTAGAGACAAGGACTCTCCTTGGAAAGTTTTGAATATGGGAGCTCCACCCACCTTTTTCCAGGTCAGTGACTGAAAAGGATCAACTAGGACCCACCTTCTTGCTACAGTTCAGGATCCGACACTTCACGCATGGAGCTCACCCGCGAAACGCCAAACACCGCGAACCGACCAACCGGACGTCGATCGCGAACCGACCCCGGACCCACCGGTGGGCGGTGCTGCCCGCCGCCCGCGGACTCGGTCCAGCCAAAACTTCGGACTGGAAGCGGAACTGGACGGTGTGCTACACCTCGAGTTGCGAGCGAGCGCGCGCCCGGTGTGTGTCTGAAGAGTGTTGCGCGCGCCCGAAGTCGGAACTCGTGGTTGGTGTATGAAAGGATGATCAGAAAGCGAGTCTCAGTGGGTGAAAAGGACTTCGTGCGAAGGGTGCATCTGAATCCCTTTAGAAAAGAACAGAACAAGGCCAAGGTCTCTGGACAAAACACCGGAACAAGATGGAACAAGCAAACACTCGGTTTGATTCCAATGCCAGGTTCATGGTCTTGCTGCAAGGTTTCCTAGGCTGCGACTGAACCCTGACGAGGCCACCAGCCCCCCCTGAAAAGAACATTTCATTCTGTCCAGTGAGGTATTTCTGTGGATCCTCCAGATTGCTTGTGAACCTCCAGATTTCACATTAACACCTATACAGTGTGAAATACATGCATCCTACTATAGCCACTTTTACCACTTTAACACATTATAACACACCATCACCAGCTCCTCCCAGCTCCTCCTTTCTTCACCAAGCAACTGTGGCCGTTCCCTTGGCAGCGCCAGGCGCCGTTTCGGCACTTCTAGCCGCGTGGTCGAGGTCGACGCCCGCAGGCGCACGGTGCGACACTCGCCACCGGTGCTGGTGCTTGCGCCGGTGCCAGAGCTGCGCTTGGCGGTGCTGGGCGCGGTGCTAGGGTCTCCTGAGGAGTGAAGGCAGGTTTGCTTGGGTATGGGCATGGGTGATGTAGAACCAGTATGTAATTGGTATTAGTTGATCCTCCAAGCATTCCGATATAGACCTCAAGTGTCAGCCGATGGGTCTCCAGCTTTTCTTCTTGCACTTGGCAAATGACGCTGTTATTGTTTGTAGTGTAGCAAGTCATACACCGCCTATCGGATCCGCATGGATCAACCCCCCACCGACCCCACTAAAGAAAAGGAATCACCAGCGTCAGCATGCGTCAGCAGTACCATCACTGCACTGCACCACACATTCTTTCTTTACAGTACATTTCTTTCATTCTTTCCGTTCTTTTTCCAACCCTCAGCCCTTCTACCCCCGCAAAAAAAGGCCTCAGGTAGAAGGGACCCAGGTACTCTCGTTCACTCCTGGACTTCGTTTCTCGGTGT